CCCCAAAACCCCCAAAACCCCAAAACCCCAAAACCCCAAAACCCCGGGTTATGCCAAATTTATTGAATAAATTGAATATATCTATCTCAGTGCTTCTTGGACTAGGTTTTGCTGCTGCTCAGCATGGACTTTGGCAAATCCTGTAGCGGGAGAACTACTAGTTTCTCTTCCAGCATATCTGAGGGCAATCTTATCTTGTACTCCTAGTTTCTTGAATAAAGAATTGAGTCTTGGCTTCATAAAGCCGTATGCACCATAATTCTTAGGTTCTTCTTGGCACCAAACGATGTCAGTGGCATTTGGATAATTCTCAAGATGCTCTTTCAAAAGGTCATAAGGAACTGGGAAAAGTTGCTCAATGGTGATAATAGCTGTCTCAGAGTCATTCTTGAGGTCTCTCTCTTTAGCAATATCGTAGTAAACTTGCCCACTGCAGAGGACGATTCTCTTGACTTTAGATGGGTCTTTCACGAGAGCTTTGTTTCTCTCTCCGATTGATCTCAAGAATCTCTTCCCATCTCCAAATTCTTCGATGTCGCTGCAAGCTTCTTTGAATTTGAGAAGCTTCTTTGGAGCGATGACAATGAGCGGCTTTCTGAAATCTCTGTGCATTTGCCTTCTGAGGACATGGAAGTAGTTAGCAGCTGTAGTACAGTTGGCAATCTGCCAGTTAGCAGCTTTGTTAGTGTGATGGAAATAGTCTTCTCTGAACTCTGCAACCACATCTGGATCATCATCGGACATAGCAAGGAATCTTTCGACTCTTCCAGAAGAATGCTCTGGTCCTTGTCCATCATATCCGTGAGGGAGAAGCATAACAAGACCACTGGCTACATCCCACTTGGATTCACCTGAGCAGATGAATTGGTCGACCATAGCTTGTGCTCCATTATAGAAATCTCCGAACTGGGCTTCCCAAATAGTCAAAGAGTTTGGATTACAGATAGAATAGCCATACTCAAACCCAAGAACTGCTAGTTCGGACAGATGAGAGTTTGAAGGAATGAACCTTCTGAGCCTTCCCTCATCTTTGAAGCCTAACGGAATGTATTCCTTGTCATCGGTTTGATGATGGACAATTGCATGTCTATGAGAGAAAGTACCTCTTTCAACATCTTGTCCAGAGATACGTACGTGATAGTCTTCATCTATCAGAGTTGCGAAAGCCAGAGCTTCAGCAGTTCCCCAATCAATGCCTGTGCCAGTCTCAATGCTCTTGAGTCTATTTTCAAAGATCCTTCTGACCATACGGTGAGCTTCAAAGTCCTTTGGAATTGTTGAAATCTTCTTGCCTAATGATTTTATCTTGTTAGTATCAACTCCAGTAAGTTTATACCCGCTCTTAGTGTCTGGGATTCTGATGGTGTCCCACTCAGAGTTGACCCAGTCAGCTTTATCGGCTTCAAGCTGCCTTGCTCTATTGTAATTTTCATCCATGAAATTCCATATTTTGTCTCTAGTCTCTTTCTTCAGCTCTTCACTCAGAATTCCGAGTTCGAGGAGTTTTGCTTCATACTTGTCAAGGACGTTGACCATATTGTTGATTTCTTTGTACATGAGAGGTTGAGTGAAGGATGGCTGGTCAAGCTCGTTATGACCGAATTTCCTGTATCCAATAATATCGATGACAATGTCCTGCTTGAACTTCTGTCTGTACTCAGCAGCTATCTTTGCGCATTTAATTACATTTAGAATACTATCAGCGCTTACATGGAGGATCGGTGCGTTAGTGGCCTTGGCGAGATCAGTACAGTAGAGACCACTTCTAGCATCAAGAGGAGTTGTGGTAAACCCTATTTGGTTGTTTACGATAAAATGGATGGTTCCACCAGTAGTGTAGTTGTACAAATCAGCCATCTGCATTGTCTCATAGACTATACCTTGTCCTGCAAAAGCAGCATCACCATGGATAAGGATAGCAGCATTCCTGTGTCTATCTTGGTCAGCTCCAAAATGCTGGTTCGCTCTTGTATATCCGCAAGCAACAGGGTCAACAAGTTCAAGATGAGATGGGTTTGGTAGCAAATGGATATCTACAGTCCTCCCTGATTCATAAGTTCTTGAAAAGGATGTTCCAAGATGATACTTGACATCTCCAGATTTACCCCAATCAGCATCCTTATCCTTAGCCTCTCCTTGGAATTCTTGGAAAATGATATCAAGTGGTTTTCTGAGAACATTTGCTAGGACGTTGAGTCTTCCTCTATGAGGCATTCCTAGGGTAACAGATTCTAATCCATTCTCGACAAGTACGTCGATGCAAGTCTTTAATCCTGGAATAAATGAATCTCAGCCTTCGAGTCCGAATCTTTTCTGGGTATTGTATTTTGATTGAAGGAAGTCTCCAAAGAGGACTGCCCAAGCAAGTCTATCATATGCAGAAATGCACTCTTCATCGCTTGGTTTGATAAACACTTCTTCTTCCATCTTTGTTCTGATCCAGTTGAGCTGTTCAGTGTTTGTGATGTGCATGTACTCAATTCCGATATGTCCTCAATAAGCCTTTTTGCAAGAATCAATTAAATCTCTCAGTACCCAGTTCTTCTTCATAGAGAGGAATCCTCTTTCATAACTTGAATCTAAAACTTATGGATAAAATCTTACCAATGTAGTACTCTCGGTCTAGCTGCTCATCAGTGAATCCATGGAACCTGTAGTCAAGTCTCTCGATGTTGAGTCTCTTACGCTTTCCAATCTGCATCTGGTCACCATATTTCTTGACCAGCTCAAGCGGTTCGACTTTTGCTTTCTCATGACCAACAGTTTGGTAGGAGCGATATAAGTTCAAAATTCTTGTTGTATCAGTAGCTGCTTGATCGCTATTCGCACCTCCAGAAGAAGAAAGAGCTAGTTTCAAGGCTTGTTCCAATTCACTGGCAGCTTGGCCTGCTCCTCCAGTACTTGAAGCTGAGTGAGAGCTGCCACCTGTCTGCTTGTTGTCGAAGTACTCCTTCCATTCCTTACTGACTTTTGATGGATCTTCCAAATACAACTTGTATCTAAAATAAAAGTTCAATGATGCACAGTAGAAGATATGCTTATATACAAAGACTTACTGATTCTCATAGAACAAGGACGAGAAGTATCTCTGAGTATTTAATCCTGAGGACAGGCACCTAAAAGAGGGTGTGGTCTTCTGAATGTTTAGTCCTTTGTTCATAGTCATCAAGTTCCTTCTAGAGTAAAGTCCCTTCTCTATTTGGTCAGTAAGATATATGTCAAAAATGTGCTTCAATATTACAAAAAAGCACTAATTTCCTCAGGTTCAAAGCTACAGTTGAACGTATTCGGAGGTTCAGGCAAGAAAGGGCTTACTTATATTAGTGAATTTGAAAGTCTGCATGCCTTTCGATAGAATTCCTGGAATTTTTGAGCCTAGCATTTTTATATTATAATAAAACCTTCAATATAATTATTTTAAAAAGGGGTTTTGGGGTTTTGGGGTTTTGGGG